CATGGGATAATGAAATATTTGTTTGTTCAGTCTTAGCACCATATCTTGAAGATACAAACTGAACAGAAAGGGAATCAAAAGACATCCCTGCCTAACCCCTTTCTGCAAAGGGAACAGATTAGCTAAATAAAAGGAACAGATTAGTTAAATGACCTTCAATACTACAGCATATTTGCCCAAAAGAGGGCCTGAGTCTAATGCAGAACTCTTTAAACATACCATGCCTTCAAGCAGGAAGTAAGCCTCCTGAAAGCATACAGTTTTGTCATCTCTTCTTTCCAGGACTACTTGCTAGAAACAAGATTGTATCTCAAGACTTTTTGTAACACACAGTGCAGCAAGCGTGCAAAGAAAATCTGTACATTAATTTTTTCCCCAATAACATTTTAGTATCAACTTCTCCTTTACCATCTTCTATGTGTCAGATTAAGTAATTATGATGTGCAAAGTTATTTCAAAGTGATTTATCATACATACTGTTTTTAAGTGCAAGCTGTGATACAGATGGGTGCACGCTAAAACTTTTTCTTCCCTTCTAACTGCTACTCCAAATGACATTTTTAACAGTTAAAGCATTTTAAAAGCTGAAGACTCAACGAGCAGAGCTGAAAGAACTGTAGCATATACATGTATACTTTTAGACCACATAAATGATTAAAAATTTCATTACACTTACCAGAGCATTCAACACAATCACAGGTGTAAACTAGGTAGCAACTGTATCATTCAATGCTGGGTGAACAAACAGCATTATTTAAAAAAAAAAAAGTACCCAAGGGAAATGGCAGTTAACTGCTTAAGTAAATAGTACAAATATGGAACAAGAGATAGTAGCTGACATTAAAAACTCTCCTGAGACACTGTTAACATGCTTGCATCCATAACCTTTTTTTTTTTTTTTAGGATCCAGAAAACCCTGGTTTTCAAAGTAATGAGTTTTGATAACCTGACAACAATCAGGTTGAAAAGGTGAAGGAAAAGTGTTACAGATCCACACGTTTATCATAGAATAAGCAAATATTTACTATCAGTATATTGACAACTTATGTATATGCTCTTGTAAAGGCCATATCCTAGACATTCAATCGTTCCAGTCTGAATGGGCAATGCTAGGGCAGCAAATGTGAGGTATCTTCTGATGTCTACATCTATGCATAGCAGGAGCAACATCAACAGCTCTATGCACCACTCAACACTTGTTACCACTTCACAAAAACAGCAAGGACACTGAACGCAGGTCAACTCTACAAGAGGATTAGGCTAGTTTATTTATGGATGACACTTTCTGCATCCACAACTGTGAACTGGTCCACTGCCTCGCCGACGCTGGAGTACAGGGGTTTGCCTTACAATGGCTTGCTTCCTTCCTCCAGGGCCGGGGACAAAGGGTGGCGCTTGGGGAAGAATTATCTCAAAGGCACCCGTTGACTTGCAGAGAGCCTCAACGAGCAATTCTATCTCTGATGTTACTTAACATCTATATGCGCCCCGTTGCCCAGATAGCTCGGAGCTACGGACTCAGTTGTCACCAGTACGCTGATGACACCCAGCTGTATCTGTTACTGGGCGGCCAGTCGAACTCTGGGCCGGAAGAGCTGGACCTGGCGTTATAAGCTGTGGCTGGATAGCTTCGACTGAGTCGGTTGAAATTAAATCCGATGAAGACGGAGGTTCTGTGCCTAGGTCATGGTGGCCCGGGGTTAGGGATCTCACTCCTGACCTGCAATGGGGCGTCTCTGTTGCCAGCGCCAGAGGTTAGGAGTGCTCCTTGATGCCTCCTTAACAATGGAGGCCCAGGTAGCAGCCACTGCCAAGTCAGCCTTTTACCATCTTCGGCTGATTAGACAGTTAGTTCCCTTCCTTGAATGTAGCGACTTGGCAATGGTAATCCATGCAATGGTCATCTCGAGATTAGACTACTGTAAAGCTCTCTACATGGGGCTGCCCTTGTCCCAAATTTGGAAGCTGCAGCTGGTGCAGAATGCTGTTGTGCAGGCTGTTGTTGGGTCTCTCTCCGCGAGAACACATCCAGCCTGCGCTGAAAGCATTACACTGACTGCCTATAGCATACTGAATTTGCTTCAAGGTGCTAGTTCTCACTTATAAAGCCCTTTATGGTCAGGGGCCAGCATACTTGAGGGACCACCTTTCCCCACATGTTCCCCAGAGAGCACTGCGTTCAGGGGCACAAAACCTCCTAGTGCTTCCTGGCCCTAAAGAGGCCAGACTGGCCCTAACCAGGGTTAGGGCCTTCTCCGTGGCAGCTCCATGCTGGTGGAATGAGCTGCTGAGGGCACCAGGGCCCTGCGGAATTTACTTCAATTCCACAGGGCCTGCAAGACAGAGCTCTTCCACCAAGCATTTGACCACAGTTAACACCTTAACATAACTTGGAGCCTCCCTGGGATTGTGTTCATCATCTAAGTCTGTACTAACTGACTCCTGTTACAAAAACATTGGATTACAATTGCTGTCGCATAGGAATGTATGGATGTATTGCACCTTAGATTTTATATGTTTTAAATTGTTTTAACCATTTTATGTAAGCCTCCCTGAGCCTGTTTCGGCCGGGAGGGCAGAGTATAACTCCAATAAATAAATAAATAAATAAATAAATAAATCTCTTGCCCACAAGGCAGTCTAATGAGATACTCTTCAGATTAGAAATAGTGTATCAGATGTGGCTCAAGTGGTTAAGACGCTGAACTGCAGGCTGTGGAAGGTCAGTAGTTCAGCAGTTTGAGACCCGAATGTGCCGCATGACAGAGTGAGCTCCCGTCTCTAGTTCCAGCTCCTGCCAACCTAGCAGTTCAAAAGCAAGGAATTGCGAGTAGATAAATAGGTACCACTTCGGTGGGAAGCTAACAGCGTGCTGTGCGCCTTGGTGTTTAGTTATGCCGGCCACATGACCACGGAAATGTCTTCGGACAGCGCTGGCTCTTCGGCTTTGAAACGGAGATGAGCACCGCAACCCTAGAGTCGGACTCGACTGGCTTTCGAGCAAGGGAACCTTTACCTTTATCAGATACACACAAACTTATTAAACAGATTTAATGTTCATGTCCTGCAAATGCAAGGACAGAATCTGTCCCTCCTATTGTCCAGGGGGAAAAAATCACTTGGACTCTACATTCTCCCACTTTCATCTTCCTTTCCTTTTGGCGGAACTGGCTCTCAGGCTCTTATTTCCAACCTGTCATAGTTCAGTTGTGTTTTCAATGTACCTATCTAGTCAACTATACTACCTCGGAATGAAAATACATTGTGATTTGGTAAGCTTACTAAGTTTAAGGTAATGTCATAGCACTTAACTAAATATATCTGAAAGGAGCAATGATTAATTGTAAATTTTTGCTCTATGGAAATGGGGCTTACACAGAGATATTTACAGTGGTTTAACACACAAAGTCCTTCTAGTAAATTAGCAGAAAGTGCCATCAAGTCACAGCTAACTTATGGCAACCGCAAAGGCTTTCCAAGGCAAGAGACATTCAGAGCTGCTTTGCCACTGCCTACCTCTGTGTCATGATCCTGGTATTCCTTGGAAAACTCCCATCCAAATACTAGCCAGGATCAATCTTGTTTAGCTTCTGAGATCTAATGAGATCCAGCTAGCCTGGGCTCCCCCCTCCTCCCAAATTATCATTCAACTTTGCTGCATGTCCAGACATCTTTAGGAACAACCAATAAATGGCCACTCCAGGTAAAAAACCTTTTGTAATTGAACAGAGATAGGGTTTTGTTTTTTTAAACAACTGATATACCACAAATGGGTAGAGTATAAGCATACACAGATGGGCTGGTAAACATTTTTTTTTAAAACCTAGTAATTTGTAGCAATATCTGAAAGTGTTTAATCATGAACAGAACACATGCTGATATCTAAGTTATCTACGCAAATAAGTATCTCTTCCTCTTCTATAAGATGAAGCAGCAACTGATGCAGTTTCCTGACACACACTCTTGCAGCAGTTAATGTAATAATGCCTCATAATACTTTATAATCAGGAATTTTAGAAATAGACTACCACATAACACTCATCTTTTCTACTACAATTCTGCAAAAAAAAATTAATAACAATAGTTTTGCAAGGTGCATTTTATAATCAGGCTGCCCACATGAGAACATTTCCAAATGAAAAATGAATGACATTTTGACACCTTCATTCTAACAAAACGATTTTGATGTTGCAAACACTTAAAGGTGTAGGACAAATCATCTACAATTTGACACACCTAGGGCAACAAACCAGTGGGTTGCCTACCTGTAAAAATACCTCAGTTGAAAGTTATGTACTAGTAAGACAGAAATGTATAAAATATCATTTGCATGTATTATACAATTTGGATTAGTTTTAAAATCATGCCTATTTAAGAAGGTTCTCTTTATGACAGCAAAACAGTAACTGTTGACAAAACCAATCCATCTCATTGAGGAATAACGCTGGGGCGGTCGAAGAGCTTGTTGGACTTGGCTCTGGTAGACTTCTGTTCCCACCTTTGCCATCAAAGTTGCTGGGCGGGCTTAGGCAAGCCCCGGCCTCAGTTTTCCATTTACAATAACAACTTCCACAGGGCTGTTATGAGGGCTGATTTGGAAAGCGGACCGTCCAGCCACTTGCCCATTTAAAGAACCACAAAAAGGAATATGACTACAAAGGCAGACGCAGCCACCACCACCCCACCCCCCGGAGCTGCATAGTTTCCCACCTGAAATCCAATCCAATGTGCTCCAGGCAGTAAGACTGTGGAAGAAGGGCAACAAAACCAGGCCGTAGAAGGAACGCGGGGCCTGGGGATCGAAGACCCCACCACCACCACCGAACCCACGGCCGAGCCCCGGCCTTGCCTGGGATCCTCCTCCAGCCGGAGCCCATTAGCTCCGCGGCCTCCTTCGCTCTCTCAAAAGCCGCCCGGCAACCGCCTGTCTCTGGGCACCGCGAGGGAGTGGCAACTTCGGTCCCCATCTCCCCGCCCCCCCAGCCCCCCCAGCAACTCACCGATGAGACGCCGCACCTCCTCCTGGCTCATGTAGACACTCAGGCCGGGCCCGGCGGCGGGAAGGGGTGCCCCAGAGGGACCCAAGCTCGGCCCCCTCAGACTTTCGGAGCCTGCCGGCGGCAGCGGCAACCACAGTGCGGAGAGGAGCACGAGGACCAGGCTGCGGCGGCGGCGGCCGTGCCGAGACAGCCTCGTTTCAGAGGCATCGCGGCTTCCACTCCCCCGGCCGCCCAGCACCATCGCTCGCTCCCGGCTCCCCCACTGGGGAGGGGACGCGGCCCTCCCTCCCGGGCCCTCCAGCTCAGCAGCCGTTCATGCTCCGGCCGCGCGCACTCGCGCTACTTGGGCCGGGATCATCAAGCAGGCCCCCCGCGCGCCCCTTCCCCCCGCCCCCCCAGCCAAGAAGCGAGCAAGGCCGAATCGCGCCGACTCAAACAATCTCCGCCTCCCCCGTGTCGAACACGCGTGCGCATCCGTTCCCCTTATCCTGCGCTTGCGCAAATGAGCCCAGCAATCACTTGCCCCGCTTTGCCAAAGCTGAAATTCTCTCAGTGCTGTGAAACGTCATGTTGCCCTTCCTGATTCAAAGCCGGCCCTGGCTGTGGCCACTCTCGCTCTCTTTCTGTGTGTGTTGGCTGGGAAGGCAGCCTTGTGAACCCCATTTTGCCGGGTTTTGTTTTTTACATTGCAATTGTTAATAGGCTATATTATACTGTTTTTATTTCATTGCGTTCTAATTCTGAAATCTGCTTTACGACTCAATGAGAGAGTTGGACTATATGAAGCAAGTAAACAAAGAAACCAAAAAAAGACCTTACAGAATTCCAAAAAGAGACTAGAAGATGCTGGGAATAACTTTTGAAAATTTGTTTTATTTTGGCAGATTACTAATAAACATCTAATTAGGTCTGAAGACATTGCAAAAAATATTTAACCAAACACTGCCTATTGGCAAGGCATGGTACATCAGGTGCCCAGAGACCCCAGAATGTTTGCAAAAGAATGGGACTTTGTTCCCACGTATGACACAAGTTGGAGTCTCAAGGCAAAACAAAAGGGACAGGGTAAAAGCCGAAACTGCCAGAACTCGAGCATTACACACATAATAGTACCGCAAAAAACAGTGGCATGCATTACAGGCACTCCAGAACAATATTCTAGAAGTGGAAAAACGGTACCCTCACTCTTTTATTAACCCTTTTCTAGGCTGAAATGCCTCTGGAACACCCCGGAACAGGCATTAAACACACAATAGTGCCGCAAAAAACAGTGGCATGCATTACAGGCACTCCAGAACAGTATTCTAGAAGTGGAAACAGGGAACTCTCACTCTTTTATTATCCCTTTCCAGGCCAAAATACCTCTGTAACAGCCCGGAACGGGCACTAAACAGACAATACCACTGCAAAACACAGTGGCATGCATTACAAGCCTTCCAGAACAATATTCTAGAAGTGGAAACACAGAACTTCACTCTACTATTAACCCTTTCTAGGCCGAAATGCCTCCCGAACGGCCCAGAACGGGCATTAAACACACAATAGTGCCGCAAAAAACAGTGGCATGCATTACAGGCACTCCAGAACAGTATTCTAGAAGTGGAAACAGGGAACTCTCACTCTTATTAACCCTTTCTAGGCCAAAATGCCTCTGTAACAGCCCAGAACGGGCACTAAACAGATAATAGTGTTATGTACGCGGACCGCCACCAGGGGTCCGCGGCAAAGACAGGAGCTTGGCTCCCCTGGACAATAGGATCATAGGATCCTAGCTCCCCCCAGCCCCAACCAATAGCCGCTTTGGCGGGAAATTCAAACCTTCCAATGGACTAGGGCTGTGCTGGGTGGGTGTGTTTATAGATGGCCTTGCAGGGCCGTTGTTTAGTCTTGTGTTAAGTACAATAAACATGTGCAAATGCATGTTGTCGTACAAGTCCTCCATGCGGCGAACCCAGTACTTTTCAGTGGCAACGAGGATGGGATCCCGCTGAGCCAGGCCTGGCTCGCATCCCAGCACAGCACCGAGCATCGTTCCAGCCAACGTGCCCCGCATCGCTCTCAAGCAGCACTGCACCGTGCACCGAATCAAGGAACACCACTCCCCGCTAACGCTACACCATGGCCTCTGCTCGGGGGAACTTGGAGATCTTCAGTCCAGCCCACCAGGGGTCCGCGGCAAAGACAGGAGCTTGGCTCCCCTGGACAATAGGATCATAGGATCCTAGCTCCCCCCAGCCCCAACCAATAGCCGCTTTGGCGGGAAATTCAAACCTTCCAATGGACTAGGGCTGTGCTGGGTGGGTGTGTTTATAGATGGCCTTGCAGGGCCGTTGTTTAGTCTTGTGTTAAGTACAATAAACATGTGCAAATGCATGTTGTCGTACAAGTCCTCCATGCGGCGAACCCAGTACTTTTCAGTGGCAACGAGGATGGGATCCCGCTGAGCCAGGCCTGGCTCGCATCCCAGCACAGCACCGAGCATCGTTCCAGCCAACGTGCCCCGCATCGCTCTCAAGCAGCACTGCACCGTGCACCGAATCAAGGAACACCACTCCCCGCTAACGCTACACCATGGCCTCTGCTCGGGGGAACTTGGAGATCTTCAGTCCAGCCCATCCCGAACTCTGGGACTCGTGGACAGACCTGACAGGGCACCTTACGCCACGGCCAACCACGCTCGCCAGATGGATCAAATTCCAAGGCCGACTTCAGAAACCGGGCGAGTCGGCTGCGGCTTTCATGGCCGCCCTGCACCAGCTGGCCATGGACTGTGCCTTCACGAAGATGGAGGAGAACCTACTAATGCAATTTGCGTGGGGCATCAGCGACCTAAAGCTGCGGAGGAAGATGATCGGCACCGCCGACATCAAGATCAACACAGCCCTCCAACTCGCCATCGCCCACGAGGCTTCTCACTGTGACAGTCTGCCGGCGACTTCTCACTTCGTGCTCCCCAACTCGGGCCCCGAGAACTCAGAGGAGGAAGCCCCGGAACGAGCACTAAACAGAAAATAGCACCGCAAAAAACAGTGGTATGCATTACAAACACTCCAGAATAATATTCTAGAAGTGAAAACAGGGAACTTTCACTCTTTTATTAACCCTTTCCAGGCCAAACTGCCTCCGGAAAACCCTGGAATGGCCCAGAACAGGCATTAAGCAGACAATAGTACTGCAAGAAACAGTGGCATGCATTACAGACACTCCAGAACAGTATTCTAGAAGTGGAAACAGGGAACTCTCACACTTTTATTAATCCTTTCCAGGCCAAAATGCCTCCGGAACGGCCTGGAACGAGCATTAAACAGACAATAGTACCCGTAGGTCATCCCTACCTTTTTATTCCGGGCCGTTCCGGAGGCATTCTGGCCTGGAAAGGGTTAATAAATGTGTGAGAGTTCCCTGTTTCCACTTCTAGAATATTGTTCTGGAGTACCTGTAATGCATGCCACTGTTTTTTGCGTTGCTATTGTCTGTTTAGTGTCCATTCCGGGCTGTTCCGGACGTTTTTTGGCCTGGGAAGGGTTAATAAAAGTGTGAGAGTTCCCTGTTTTCACTTCTAGAATATTGTTCTGGAGTACCCGTAATGCATGCCACTGTTTCTTGCAGTATTATTGTCTGCTTAATGCCCATTTGGGGCCGTTCCGAGGTGTTCTGGAGGTATTTTGGCCTAGAAAGGATCAATAAAAGAGTCAGGGTTCCATGTTTTCACTTCTAGAATATTGTTCTTGAGGGCCTGTAATGCATGCTACTGTTTTTTGTGGCACTATTGTGTGTTTAATGCCCGTTCCGGGCCGTTCTGGAGGCATTTTGACCTAGAAAGGGTTAATAAAAGAGTGAGGGTTCTGTGTTTCCACTTCTAGAATATTGTTCTGGAGGGCCTGTAATGCATGCCAATTTTTTTTTGCAGGACTGTTTTGTGTTTGATGCCCGTTCCGGGCTGTTAAGGAGGTATTTTGGCCTAGAAATGGGTTAATAAAAGAGTGAGGGTTTTGTGTTTTCACTTCTAGAATATTGTTCTGGAGGGCCTATAATGCATGCTACTATTTTTTTGTGGCACTATTGTGTATTTAATGCCCGTTCTGGGCTGTTATGGAGGCATTTCAGCCTAAAAAGGGTTAATAAAAGAGTGAGAGTTCTATGTTTTCACTTCTAGAATATTGTTCTGGAGTGCCTGTAATGCATGCCACTGTTTTTTGCGGTGCTATTGTCTGTTTAGTGCTCGTTCCGGACCGTTCCGGGCTGTTACGGAGGTATTTTGGCCTGGAAAGGGATAATAAAAGAGTGAGAGTTCCCTGTTTCCACTTCTAGAATACTGTTCTGGAGTGCCTGTAATATATGCCACTGTTTTTTGCGGCACTATTGTGTGTTTAATGCCCATTCCGGGCCATTCCAGCTTTTACCCTGCCCCAAAACAAAACTGGAATAAAGTGCCAGTGAGACTTCAGTGAGATGTGTCTGAATACATCAAGAGGTAACAAGTCTATCAGACAGAGTGTAATATTTTTGTTAAAAGGTGAAGGCATAATGATGGTAGGAACCAAGGTGTTACATATGGATGTGAGGAGAGAATAATTTCAGGAGAACACCAGGAGAGAATTAAAATTTTCATCTGTGGTGAGAGTTGTACAATGTTAATTAAAGTTTGCTCCACAATATACAGTGCCATCTAAGCAGAGTTACACCTTTCTAAACTCACTGAAAGTCAATGGACTTAGAAAGGGTGTATCTCTGCTTAGAATGGTATTGTCTCATATGGCATTCTTTGCAAAGTTTGCAGTAGCAAGTATCACACTTTTATCTATTGCATTTTCATCTCTTTTTTTCCCCCCGTTATAGAACTGGGCAGTATACAGCCCTCGGTTCCTGCCGGAGCGCACCATAGCACCGCTCCGTCAGTCAGGAGCCCAGGGGGCGGGCAAATAAGCCCCGCCCCCTGCTCCCACCAGCTATCAGTTGGGCAACTGTGTGGGGGGGCTGAAATGTTCCCCCGCCTCCCTGAGCCCCAGGGTGGTGGCCTTGGACTCGTAGGGGCGAATTCCACCTCTCGCACGAGAGATCATTCTGGCTCCCCCAGCTCTCCTTAGGGGCTCTTTAAAAAGTTATGGCTGCTGCTGCTGTTCTTGGCGGCAGCTGCGATGCCCGTGGCCCCCCCCAAAACCTTCTCTCTCCTCCCTGAGCCATGGGGTGGTGGCCTTGGACTCGTAGGGGCAAATTCTACCTCTCGCGTGATGTACCAGTGGCGTTGCCACTCGGACATCACACGCGAGAGGTCATTATGGCTCCCCCAGCTCTTCTTAGGGGCTCTTTAAAAGGTTATGGCCCACAGGGGGTGCGCGAAACGTTCTCCCTCCTCCCTGAGCCCCGGGGTGGTGGCCTTGGAC